GATCGTTACAGCCTTTAACAGATATGTGCTTTTTTTTTCACGGGCCGGGCGCGGGGCGGCTCGGGGCGAGCGGGGAGCGCGGCGCGGGCCCGCCGGCGGCGGCTGCCGCGGGCTCCCCCGGCTCCCCCGGCTCCCGGGCTTCCCCGGGCTCCCCCGGGCTCCCCTGTGCTCCCCCGGTTCCCCCCGGCTCCCCCGGGCTCCCCCGGCTCCCCTGTGCTCCCCCGGCTCCCGGGCTCACCCGGGCTCCCCTGGCTCCCGGGCCGGCCCCGCGCGGGAGGGAAGGGCAGGGAAGGGCTGGCGGGCGCTGCCCGGCGGTGCCGCCCGCCCCAGTTGCGGCTCGGCGTGTCCGGGCCGCCCGTGGCAGCGCCCCGCGGCAGATGAGGCACGCGCCGGCCTCATTACAATGAGAATGGGCAGGCTGGAGGGGCCATGTGGCAGCAACAGTTTGCAAATCCCCCCTCCTTCTGTGCGAATCGGGAAACATTTCCAAACATTTGTACCCCAAATCGACCACATTAACACCCCTCCGAGCGGCGCTCCCTGGAGGGATGCTCCACGCTACGGGCATTTAGGCAGAAACAAAACAAGCAAGGAGGATTTTTTTTCTCCCTTCTTTTCTCTCCTCCTTTTTTTTTTTTTTCCTTTTTTTTTTCTTAGAGGCTCTCGGGGTGTGTCAGCGCTGAATCGATGCGCAACTTTCTAGCTAAGGGGCTTTAAAGTCATCGGGGAATCCGTCTTATAAAGCGGAGTTGTGCACTTGGAAGGGCTGGCGGGCGCTGAATAAATGGGCGAGACTCTGACTAAGAGATCAAACTCACTCCATGATCGAAGAGGTGACCAGCGAGGCCAGCCCCGAAACAGACCTCAGAGCCAGGAAGCAGGAACGCTCCCGAGAAAGGCGCGCAAGGCGCTCAGTAAAGCACCGCACCGCGCTCGTACGGGCACTAGGGATGCTGCACTGACCGACAAAATTGTCATGATAAATTTGAACGAGTGTAGGGCGGCCCGCGGGACTCCGGCTGTGCGAGGGGTTTCTGGGCGCCCCGCAGCCCACGCCCCTGGGAGTGAGGGGGTAGGCTCCCGGGGAAAGGTGCCTAAAGGGCTCCAAGGCGCTGCTCCTCGCTCCGCGCCCCTCCATCCGCTCCCAAATGAGTGCGGGGAAGGGCAGGTGCGCGGGCAGCGGCTGGCGCTGGGGGCAGGGGAGGGGTGTGAGCAGCCGTGCCCCTCGGGCATCCGCACCGCTCCCGGGTACAGGGAAGGGTCAGTCGTCCCCCAGGTTAGGGGAAAGGGGAAGACGCAGGACGCCCCCAGCTAAGCTCGACCCGGCCGGGAAGCCAGACCAGCTTGGCTGTGGCTTCATGCTGCTTTAGGGGACAGCTTAGGACACCTGGGACACAGGAGAAGCAGGGACAGCGTCGGGCGTGCCTCATTCCAAAAATCCCGGGTGGCACCACGGCGCTGCCGGAGCATCAGGCACGTCCTGCCCGGCCGTAGGTACGGGTGTTCTGTGTCTTCAGCACCTTAAAGGCAGCCCAGCAGAAGCCACGCAAAAAGCGCATGGTGGCAACATTACCGGGAGCCGCTTAAGCCCAGACTCACTCTCCGCAGGAGTTTTCCCCCGTGGGTGAGGCAGGCAGATTAGAAAGCATGGAGCCTTCAGAGAAAGAGAAAAGGGGGGCTGATGATCACGATGCAGGCGCTGCTGGCTGAGTCTGTGCTGGCGGTAGCGAGCCCTTCGCAGCCCCTTTCCCGGGGTTTGGCAGGCTGAGAGCAGCAGGACACGGGCGGCCGGGGGCGGGGGGGCTCGGGCAGGTCCCGCGGGTGGGGGAGCGCTGGACGTTCCCCCCGGGAACGGAGGAGGGCAGCCTGGCACGAGGGCTCGGGGGGAGGGATGGCTTGGCCAGGCTGGCAACTTTCACCCGCCCGGAATTAATTAACGTTGTCTCGTTAGCGAGATGCGTTTGGCCCGGCCACGCGTATGCTGAGCAGGGCCAGCCTGGAGACAAACCGGCAGCAAATGGGGCGCGAAAGAGGGGAAGAAAGCGCCCTGACCTCGAGTAAGTGAGCTGGAGAGAGAGGGAGCAGTGTGGAAAGGACGGGGAGACAGCGATCACCGGCTGTGTCCGGTCCGGTCAGTGCCCAGCATCCCGACAGGGGCTGCGGGCAGACCCCCTTGGCAAAGCCGGGGACTCTGCGGGCTTTTCCCCCGTCCCGAGGACACGTACCCCTCGAACTGAGCCGAGGATCTTAGGGGGACATGGCTGGGCTGCTGCTCTGCAAGTGACCCAGGATGGCGTGCTGGGCACAGGAAAGAGTTTGCAGGAGTTGTGCTTCTAATCTGCTCTGGGCCGACGTTCAGGCTCAGCTGTTTGATGCTATTAGCGAAACTTTTTTTTTCGTTATCTGAACTCCCTGTGCGTGTGTGTCAACATGCAGCAGGTGGTTTATTATAGTCCCCTGTTATTATTTTATTACGAACTCTTTTTATAGCTGCAATCAAAATAATGGTCTGGAGTTTCGAGGAGGATTTAGCGTCTGTTTTGCACCACTCACTCGATCTTCTGAAAATATTTGGTTTTAGGGGGGACGACACGTAGGGAGCTGGAGCAACTTGTGCTCCTGCCGGGAGCAAGCAAAGCTAGGTGCAAAGCTCGACTCGAAAAGCAGGGGCCACCCAAGGGCGATTGAGTGGGCTGAGGAGTGCTTGAGGGGCTTGCACCCCTTTCGTCAGATCTGGGGAAAGGCAGAGGTGGCAGCTCTTCTCCAGCCGCCAAGGTGCACTCCTCCAGGTTGGCAGAGAGGTTTGGCGGAGCTGTGAAAAGCAGAGATGAGCTTGTCTTGCTTTAACCTACATTAGCTCCGGGTCCATATGGTAGATGCTGCCTGTGGATCCTCAGCACCAAAGCAAGGCCCTATTCTTGCACGCCGCCCTGCTTGTGCCAGATGGTGCCTGGACCAAGTGGCCATGCGTGGGGTGGCTCTGGTTAGCCTAATAAACGTCCAATACAAGTCAAAAATCAAAACACACACATACTAACATCTGCTAGAGCCTGCAGTACCCAGCTAGCCTTTCAATACTGAATTAAAGAGCCCCACAGCCCTTCTGTTCCCCTAGGTTAGACACTCATTACCATTTATCAAGCACTGATGTTATCTGGCCTCTCATTTTATTTAGTACCGAAGCTATTAGCATCAGATTTGATTTTGACAGTTGACGCTGCTGCTGGTAAAGCCGGGATCTGGCCGGGTGGATCGCTGCAAAATTCCGAGTTCATCAGCGGCGACACATTCCTCCTTCCCACTTGTTTACGAGGCCGAGACAAAAGAGCTCCTCGCCTGTGCCTCGCTGCCTCGCGGTTTATCTTCTCCACGGACACGGCTCCTGTCCTCACAAACACGTACCCCAGGCGACAGCCGGGCTACTCGGGACGGAGCCAAGCCAAGGGTGCCCGGCCTCGGGTGCAATCCCCCGACATTGCCAGAGTTTGTGCCTCCCGGCTTCGGCTTTCACAGGCTCAGTGGGGACCGGGAGAAGTTTTAATCCTCTTTTGGTGGCGACCCCGATTTCTAGCCTGCTCCTCACCCAAACCAATCCCGGAGGTGCCAGTGGCTTTCCCCCACTCTTTCTCTGCGAAGCCTTGTCGTGTTCCCCACCCCTGCCCCGGCCCTCCCGGTGACACCTCGGACGTTTGGACCCTGACCACATCCTGGGCCAAAGCCGGTCTCCAGGGAGAGCAGCAGCTTTAAATGTAAGAGGGAGCGCGACGGCCTGGGAAGTTTGGCTGAAGTGTGTCCTCCCCATGCTGTCTCGCCTCCAAACGATCCAGACCCCCGGCTGTCCTTATCCCTCCCAAACGAACTCGGATTGGGGAAGTAAGGCTGCGAGAACAGACCCTTTGGGAGAGCAGAGGGGCGGATGGGGACTGGCAGCGCTCTGTGCCCCGCGTTGCTCTCCAGGTGACCCACGCCGCGGAGGCCCGCAGCCTGGCGCGCCGGGCGCTGGCAGAAAGGTGGCAAGACCTCATTACCATACAGCTGAGGGTTTATCTCTCCCTCCCTCCCTCCTTCCCTCCCCCCCTCCGGCCTCCCATCCATTTAACAAGCTGAAATAAAAAGCCACATGAAAGGCCTTCTCTGTGCTTGGCTTTAATGAGGGACACGCGACCCAACAATAAGCGCACGCTGCAATCAGGCCAAGGGCTTTATGGCACACGCCAGACCGCAACCCGGCCGCGGCCAGACACGGCCCGGGGCCCCGCTCCCGCCCCGCTTGCCTGCAGGCGCCCGAACTTTCCCCTTGCCCATGTTCCTGGGAGCCGGGGCAGTCTCGGGAAAACCCAGCTCCGTCCTTGCTGTCGACCCCGACCACCTCGCAGGAGCGCTCGTTCGCCACCGAATTCGGAAGGGCGGCCGAGCGCCCGTCGATCCCCGCCGTGCCCGCCTCCCCTGCCCTTCCTCGGTGGGCTCCGTTACTCGGGGTCAGCAATGGGGCAGGACCCGCGGCCCCAGAGCTGGGCGCTGCGCCCCGGGAGCCGCCCCGGGTGCCCGCCCGCCGGGCAAACATCGTTTTACTTTTGGTTTCTAGCCGGGGCCAGCCCCCGCCGGGCAGGGCAGCTCCTGCCCGCCGGCCGGCCGCGACTGCAGGGCACCGCGCCGCCCCGTCCCGCCGCCGGGACACGGCCGGGGAGGGGGGACACGCGTGGAGTTGTGGGGTGGAGGGCAACGGGAAACAAAAACTAACTAACTAACTAACTAACTAACTAACTAACTAACTAACTAACTAACGAGCGTATTTTTGAAACATTTCATCCTCTATTGTTCGGCCGCTGTAGAAAGCTGCCCTGTGGAGAGGCGTCTGATTTTCGAGGGAACTCTCTCTCCCAGTGTGAGCGCCGTAAATATCTCAACAGATGCTCGGCTCGTTCGTAATCAGCTCGGCTCCTCGGCGGGCAGCGCGGCAGCGGCGGCGGCGGCGGCGGCAGCAGGGTATTAATTCGGGATATGAGGGCTCTCCGCAACATTTGGTTCTTTTTTCCAGAAAGGAAAGATGGAAAAGGGGAGGGATCGCCCGTGAGTCTGACTGACAGTTTACATAATGAGCTTGTGAGGATGCGAGGCAACTATATAAACAGCTCGAAGCGAAGCAAGTTTTCCATTTACTGAGCGCTGTTAGCACCGGTTAAAGGAGGAGCGGTTCCACACTAAGCACTCCCCTCCGCGTCTCTCACCAAACCCACCCGGCTTTGGAGTTTATAAAGGCGACGACAGCGATCAGAGGTCGGCGGCTGGCTGCAGGATTAATTCCCAGAAGGGGACGGATCGACACCTGGATTTTACCTTCCGATTTCTGCTGGTGCTCGGGGAATATTTGGAAGAGCAGGTTGCTCCAGGAGAATCGCCGTGACGCCTCTCTTTTCTCCCTCGAACGAGAAGCGTTTGCTTGGTCCATTTGAGGAATACAGAAGGAAAACTAAACCCACTAAGAACTGGAAGCTCGAATAACACAAGGATGACAGCCTTGCGCATCTTTGGCTTGACGTTTCTGTTAACGATTTTGCAGCAGGTAATCACACACGAAAAAAAAAAAAAAGGGTTCGCGAAATGTAAAGTGGGTGATGGAAGCAAGTTTGCATGGCAAAGCCGGGTAAGGTCTGATTTGGCTATTTTGTGTGTCTCCCCTTTGTGCAGAGAGTGTCCGGCTCCGGCGTCTTCCAGCTGGAGCTACACGAATTCGTGAATAGCCACGGGTATCTGGCCAGCGGGAAGACCTGTTCCCCCCATTGCAGGACCTTCTTTCGCGTTTGTTTGAAGCATTTTCAGACAGTGGTTTCCCCGGGCTCCTGCACTTTCGGCAGCATCATCACTCCAGTTCTGGGAATAAACTCCTTCAGCATCAAGGATACAGAGAGATTTGACAGCCCCATCAAGCTGCCCTTTAACTTCACGTGGCCGGTGAGACTCTACTTTAAACCCGATTGCGATGGTGGGGCAGGAGGGTGGCCAGAGCACACTAACCGCGGCGGGCTGATAACTTGTAATGTCAACAAACTACTTTTGCCTTTAGAATTATTTCCAGAACTTCCTTTAAAAAAGGGGTTGGGGGGAGGGGGTGCGCTAAAAAGCGCAATGAGAAAGCTCATCCAGATCAGCAGCGCTTGGGATAACCAATGCTGTTAAGAGAGATAAAGCAAGGAGCTGGGGGGCTTGGAGGTGGGGATGTGTATCCACGGGAGGGAAGCGAGTAGCCTCGGGGAGAGAGCGCAAATGCGGGGCAGGGCAGGGCAGGGCCGGTGCGCGGCGCGGCGGGGCGCGGCTCGGCCGGGCTGTGCGCGGTGGGGTGCGGGGCTGACGCTGCTTTCTCTCCCGCAGGGAACCTTCTCCCTGATCATCCAGGCCTGGCACGCGCCGGACAACTACCTGCCGGAAGGTGACTAGTGCGCGCGCCGCCGGCAGGGGGCGGGAGTGCCCCGGGGCCCGTCCCGCCCCCCCCCCGGCTCAGCTGTTTATGCCATAACTCCAGGGCCGGCTTTATCCCACCATCAGGAGCCGGTCCCCCAACGATATCCATCAGGGGCCGCTTTGATTCTGCCCCGGCCTAATCTCCAACACAATTGCGTTTCCTCCGGTTTATTTTTGGCGTGGGAAAGCGAGGCGGGCTGCGGTGAGAAAGCCGGGAGCCTGCCAGCAAGCCCCGTCCGCCTTTTCCTGTATTTTACACCTTGCTCGAATTCCGCCCTTTGGAAAGGAATAATGGCTTTGGGATGTTTTTCTGAGAGGAGAGGAAAAGGATATTTCACAGCAGCCCTCCTTTCACAGGCCCCTCGGCTGAGTCCCTTTGGCCCGGGTTCGCACACCCTGGTGGCCACCTTTTTGTACCCTTGCATACGTCAATATCCACACGCGTGCGTGTGTAAATGTATACATGTGTGTATGTATGTATGTATGTATGTGTGTGTGTGTGTGTGTACATCCATGTGCGTGCGGCGCATCCCGCTCCGCTGGCCCGGCGGGGTGGGACGCGGCGGGCTCGGAGCCGCTGACCCGCGCCCGCTCTCCCGCAGGCTCCCGGCCGCCCCCGGACGAGTGGCTCATCAGCCAGATGTCGATCCAGCGGTCGCTGTCGGTGGGCGAGGACTGGTCGCAGGACGTGCATCAGGGCCCGCTGACCAAGCTGCGCTACTCCTACCGCGTGGTCTGCAGCGAGAACTACTACGGCGAGAGCTGCTCCCGCCTCTGCAAGCGCCGCGACGACCGCTTCGGGCACTACGTGTGCGCGGCGGACGGGAGCCTGGCCTGCCTGCCCGGCTGGGCCGGCGAGTACTGCACCGAGCGTGAGTGCCACGGGCGGCGCGGCGGGGAGGGCAGCGCGGCTCTAAAGCTCACGGAGGCCTCCCGTGGCCCGGGCCGTGTTTTCGTGCCGACCTCTCCACTCCCTGTCTGGAGAGGCAAAGTTGCGCGCTGAGGACTTTGCCCCCTTTGGCTGCAGCCACCCAGCGCTGTGCTGCACCTCTGCGAGCCTTAGCAGCAAGGAGCGAGCTGGCAGGAAAGGGAGCTTGGCTGATAGCCCTGAATAGCAGTAGCTGTTGCAAGGTAAAAGGGTAGCAGCTTGCTCACACGAAGTCTGCCACCAACCATTCCTGCAGCCAGAGGACATGAGACAGGTGTTGCAGTGTAGTAGTGGGAACCTTTACTCTGAGCTCAGGGTACCACTGGGTTTTTTCAGCCTTTCATTAGCACAAGCCAAAGCCATTTCTCTTGCTGCTTTACTAGCAAGAGTTGCAAGAGTTCATGTTTGTTGCATAAACAGAAAAACTAAAGGACAACTTGTCAAGCGTTGGCTCTTTTTGTTCACTTCCTCCTGCTCTAGAACTCCTTGTGCCAAGAAGTTTTAAAACAAAACTTTGAAAACTTTGAAACTCTTTTTTAAAGTGTTTTTTAAAAAGCTTTTTATCCTTTAAAAGTGACTTCTGTAGCACCATGTGTATTTACCTAAACATTTATGCTTTTTTATGTTCTTTTCACAGCCATCTGTCTGGCTGGATGTACCGAACAGAATGGATACTGCAACAAGCCTGGAGAGTGCATGTGAGTAGATGGCAATTGCAGTCTGAACATCAGTTAAAATGTTGCTGTGTAATAGAAACTTAAACTCTTCTCCATGTCATTAATGTTTTAATTGGACTTTTCTTTCAGCTGCCGTCCTGGTTGGCAGGGCCGCTACTGTGATGAATGCATTCCCCACATAGGCTGCCGCCACGGGACGTGTAAAACACAATGGCAGTGCATCTGTGATGAGGGATGGGGTGGCCTCTTCTGTGATCAAGGTTAGTTCTAAAGCTTGCACTTACATCTTTAGGTTGGGTACTCCTTAGTACTGCACTAAGGAATCTGACACACTGGATGTGGAATTAAATTTCCCCAAGGTACATTTTCACAGGCATCAGTTTGTAGCTCTGCAGCCTTACATACCAGTTCTTGTAGTAATTTTGTCTGAAAACGAGGAAACCTTTTTGGTAGTTGCAGTTTTTCTCTAGCAAAAGAAGTTTCTCTTGGAGAAAGACTTAACAATCTGGATAAGTGTTGAGCAGACGAGTTTTCTGCCTGGTCAAGCAAAGTTTAACTTACTCCTTGTACAAGTATAACAATTTAATAAATAGTTTCCAGAAGCAGTAAACACCGTAATTTGGGCCTTCCTTATTTTGCATTCAAGGAAGTTAACTCATGTGATAAGTCTGGAGCATGAGAGAAAAATCATGTAAGAATGAAAAGTGCAGGTTCCATTTTAAGGTACACCAGACCACTTCCACCTATTCAACCCACTGAATCACTGAACCGTAGCCAGCTGAGCAGTCATGTCCTCAAGGCCATATATGCACTGCTGGCACTGAGATCATTAAGTGCTCAAAGCAGGCTAAGTGTTTCCAGGACAGTTATAGGATTAAGATGGTGAAGGCTGAATTAAGCAGGAAAAGTAAAGTTGCAGATTTTTTTTTTCTGCTTGTAGTTATCTATTAACCAGTTGCATTCAAATTACTCTGTAGTATTTATAGAGATAATAAAGCTTTTCTTACTTACGTAAGAATTACTGCCTCAAATTTAAAGGGAAAAAAAAAGAAAAGGACCGCCAAGCTTGGCAGAGCATTTTAAAGTTTAATCTACTAACATCCATAACAAGAGAGCAAATAAACAATGAAAGATTTCTAGTGTTTGTTTAAATCTCAAAGCCAAAACATCTTGTATTTTTCCTCCCTGCCCTTCCAGAATGTGCCTCAGAGCACACCTTTCAAAGATGGGGCTCACTCTTTCATGTACATGAAGTGTCCATAGTGCTATGGTGTATGTTTTGGAGAACACACTCTTATGAAGTACGTTTTCCAATTCTGTACCTAAATCCCATTGTAGCTAAAAGTTTTGTCCACAAAAAAAAAGAGAATATGCCAAAACACTGAGAGAGTTATATTTTTGCCAGATCTCTCAAAAATTCAGAGCTCAAGCAATAGATGGTAATCAGATTATGACTGGTAATAACCCAGATAACAATCTCCAGTATTCCCATTGATAGCAAAATGAAATGCTTCATTGGAAATTCTGTCTTTTTTCTCGACTACAGCCTTTTTGTACTTGTCTCTTCTCCCAGCTGTCAAAGACACGTTCTCCTAACTTTGGTATCTTTGCAGATCTGAACTACTGCACTCACCACAGGCCATGCAAGAATGGAGCAACTTGCATGAACACTGGCCAGGGCAGCTACACGTGTGCGTGCAAACCCGGCTTCACCGGCGTCGACTGCGAGCACGAGATCAGCGAGTGCGACAGCAATCCCTGCAGGAACGGCGGTAGCTGCACGGTAGGGGCATTTTAAATGAAGTGAAGCCTTTGTGTGAAGCAAGCCCCGGTGTACCTTTTCAGAAACGGTTCTGTAACAACGGAATGGGAATTCGATAGGACGCGGGTTCATTGCTGACGCTCACAGCTATCGTACTGAACCCTGTCCGAGAGGTGTCGGGGGAGGAAGTCTGCTACAGGAGGAGATGGATCACCTAGATTAGAACTAGTCAACTGATCCTTGGGTTTCTGTGGCAGCCATTATGAGAACTCGGCAAGATCCAGGGCTGGTGAGGGAGCAGATCTGTTAAAAATGAACTTCTCGAACCGCCGTTCATACAGAAACGCACCGAGTTTGCATTTTAACAGCAAATAAAAGAAAATTTTGCTTTCCGCTATAAGAAAATAGTGTCAAACAATAAGGGGGCAATCAGCTCAAGCTTTCTGTAAAGCAGAATTCCACACTTTTAGATTCTTGTAGCTTAGTGTTTCAGCCTGGTTTTGGACCCAGTTAATGACAGATTCTTACCAATGATGGATTGGTAAAGGCTGATTGATTATAGATATCAAATGTAATCTGATGCATGTTTAGATTAAAGCTAATGCAATTTTTAGATTAAAGCACAAGATCCTACCTCCCTTCTCCCAAGGCCTTGGACATACAGTACTTGGAAAGAAGAAACAGTTTGTTATGATTTAAGTGGTGGGACTTAGCCAAGCCAAAGCAACTTAAACCCTTGTGAAATAAAAAAGGGCTCTCACACTGAGGATAAATGACCTGATCGCAGCTGCGAGGTCAGCACATACCACTCTGCTCTGGGAAGGCCTCTGGGAAGATCTCTGGATCCCATTAGACAGTAGTGGTGTTAGCAAAGTTTTTGTCTAGCTGCCTGCATGCTCCCTACAACTGCATCTGCTCTGCTTGTGTATCTGCACAATTACTCCTGTGTGCTGAGTACAGCTGATCCACAACTCTGTCCCTCACAGTCCAACCTGCAGTTGTTCACCCTCCTGATGCTGCTTTTGCCACATCAGGCTGTAGATGAGAAGGGACTGAGCAGTGCTTCTGCTGACCAGAACTAAGCATGCAGGGAGCTATCATTAGTTTCCATTAAATAACAGTGGCCTGATGTTGTGTTTTGCAGGATATGGAGAATGGTTATCACTGCCTGTGCCCCCCTGGCTACTATGGCACTCACTGTGAGCACAGTGCTCTGACATGTATAGATTCTCCGTGCTTCAATGGTGGCACGTGCTTGGAAAAGGAGCAAGGGGCCAGCTACGCTTGCGTTTGCCCTTTTGGCTTTACAGGGTCAAACTGCGAAAAAAAAGTAGACAGGTGCACAAGCAACCCGTGTGCAAATGGTGAGTCTTTTTACCAAAAATCTCGTGGCCCTGACTCATTTGTGCTTTTCAGTGCAGAAGTGATAGAAATCCAATCTGACCTCTACTCTTCCTCTAGAGCATTAGTCCCTCTCCCCCGCTGTATTCCACATCCACCCTAATTTTAGTCTCTTGCTGGGGCGGGACTTTCACTGGCATTTTCTATGCAGCAAAACAATGCACGAGGTTTATCATATGATGGGGAAGATGGCAGAATTAAATCAAAGTAACAGTCTTACATATTTAGAAGGGACATAATTTTAAGGCACAGTGGTACAATTAGGTAAAGTAGAAGGAACTTTTAGATGTGCAGTTGTTTCGTAAAATAATGTCTCTCTTCTTGAGGTAGTACAACATACTGACCAGGCAAAGGTTTAGATTTCTGAGTGAAGTGCATTGCAGACTAATTTTTATTTTACTTCTTTTTCCCCCTCAGATGGTAGTTGCTTTTACCTTGGGCAGATCCGTGTGTGCCGCTGTCGGCCTGGTTTCTCTGGTCAGAAATGTGAGATAAACATCAATGATTGTGCCAGAAACCCGTGTTCCAACGGGGGGACTTGTCACGATCTCATCAACGACTACACCTGCACATGCATGCCAGGCTACAGTGGCAGGAACTGTGACATCAAAACCAGAGATGAGTGTGCTTCTGGGCCATGTGAGAATGGAGGCACATGCTACAGCGGACTTTATAGTGCCAACTTTGTTTGCTACTGTCCTTCTGGCTTCATGGGCAACCGCTGTGAATTGCCAGTTTATTCAGTGCCCGTTACACTTCCTCCTAAACCAGTCCCCTGGATTGCTATATCCATGGGGGTGGGGCTGGTGGCTTTGCTCATACTGTTCTGCATGATAGCAATGGTCATCAGGCAGATGAGGATGCACCCAGAGCAGGAGTTGGAGACAATGAACAACCTGTCTGACTTCCAGAAGGACAATCTCATTCCAGCTTCCCAGCTGAAAAACACCAATAAAAATAAAGACCTTGAAGTGGACTGTGGGCTGGAGAAATCAAACTACAAACCCAAGAACCATAAACTGGACTACAATCTGGTAAAAGACCTGACAAGTAGAGGGACACCGGAAGATAAATATTACAAAAGTGAAAAATGTTTAGGAGAGAAGTCTCCCCTCCGACTACACAGGTGAGAATGCAGTTTTTATTAGAGTCTTTCTTAAAGCCACTCATCTTCATATCAGTCTAGAAGCTGGTGAGCATATGAGGTGAAAAGAAACCTCAAGCAGATAATATACAAAACAAACCAGATCAAAGCCAGGAATCTTCATACTGGAGTATGTGTGTCACAACCAAGTGGTATCCTTAGCTAAGGCAATTAATTTGAGTGTTTGTGCAGGGTGCTGTTAGTATGGATACTGTGAAAGAACCTGGATTGGCTAGGCCAGTGGTGAAAGTAAGAAATGTCTCTTCCTCAGTAGGTCTTGGAGGAACAGCAGTTAAGACATACAGTGATTAAAAATAAGTATTTTACTTTGTAAGAAGGCAAGATGATCCGCTTACTGAGAAGAATGATGGAGTGAAAACAACTCCTCTCTTTCAAAAGGAGAAAAGGGCGGGTATTCAGTGGCTTACCAGTCTTCTGACTGGTGTACTGAAGGTCTTGTCTGGGATCTGTGTGTGTGGTTGTTACACAAGGGCTGTGAGGAACACACTGTTAGGTTGGACATGGCAGGAGCATAGGAAGGCTCTCCTTGCTGTCCCTTGCTTCCACTTCTCTCACATAATATCCCGACAGACACAGAACGTGGGAAACTTGATCCCATGCACTTCCCTTCCACATGGCTATCTCATTCCACCGCTCCATATTCATGGTAGATTTTGAGAGTCAGGCTTGTTAGTAGTCAGCTAATGTTCTTTTTTCTCTGCCCTGCCTCAGTGAAAAGCCAGAATGCAGAATATCAGCGATATGCTCTCCGAGGGATTCAATGTACCAGTCCGTCTTTGTGATAACAGAAGAAAGGAATGAGTGCATCATAGCCACAGAGGTAAGTAAGCACAGAGGTAGACAGACATAAATTCACAAAGTAAAAGGGTAAATTATCCTTTAGTATTGTATCTGAGGAGTTTCCTTTATTTCCAGGGATCATGATGCTTCCCAGCATTTCCCTCTCCTCTTCTGTGGCCCACACAGAACATACAAGTGGGGAAAATTAAAAAATTAGCCACTCTGATTTTATTAAACCAGAGGTTTTGGGCATAGATAAGTCAGTGGTAGATGAAAACACAGAACATCAGCCCATAAAAATTCAGCACATTGTAGGATTATTTCCTCTTAAATAGGTGGTCAGAAAAAATGGAAATAATAATCATTCTTAGGCCTATTGATGTAAGGCCATGTTTTTTCCTGTGACTACAATGGATAATCTTTGTTCTGTGGAAAGAGGCAAAGCTATAGATTTCTAGCTGAAGATGGAAGGTAGCAGAATGTGTTAGGATAGGCATAACAGCCATTTAGGAAGTCTGTTATAAGGTAATTTCAACCTCTTAGCATTTAAGCTCCAGCTAAATATTCTCTTACAGAAGTTAATGCTGTTACTGATAAAAACATCTTGACTTTACATTATATTGAAAAGCTGGATACACAAAAAAAGGAAAGGCCTAACACTGACCTTTAAAGACTAAAAAGCGAGTATTGAGGAACCAACTAGCTCCTGAAGAATTACCAACCTTTTGGAAATAGTGTCAGTGGAAGTTAAAGGCAATTTGGTGTTAACCAATACCTGTCTTCTTCAGTGTAGCCATCTTTAGGATTACTTTCACCCTGTAGGAAAGAGAAGCTTGCTGTGCCATACAGCAGTGATCTGTGAATTCAGATCTGCAGGACTCAGTCTCCCGTTCCAAGGTGGATATCAGATTTCCCCTTGAAAGCAAGCTGGAACACAAGTCAACCAACAGTATTAAAAGTTTAAGACTAAGTGAAAGCAGTCAAAGATACAAATGACAGCTAGACGCTTCATTCCCATTAAGTCACCTAAATACTGTATTTTCAAAGATCTTGCTGGCCAAAGCTAGGCTCCCAAATTTACACCAGGCTTCTCCAGAAATGTTTCTATTTTCAGAATAACAGCCCCTATAATCTCTCTCCACATCATTCAGGCTTAATATTTCTAAACACAAGCTATTTAACTATACCGTGTACTTTTTACAGAGCCCTAATGTTAAGTACTCAGGTTTGTAAGCATTCTTCCCCTCAGGCCAGGTGGAGAGAGGCCACTTATCACACAGATGACTTTTTTTTTTTTTTTTTTTTTTTTTTGCTGGTAATTCTTTGCCTCTGGACCCAGCTGAAAGCATTGAGCACTGAGAATTAAACTGCAGTAATGTTTGGGTTAAATTGCTTTGGTTTGCCTTATAGTTTGTTAGTTCTGCACTACTCTGTATGCCATGATTCCTTCTCATTCCTGGTGTTATTTTATATCCTGACAGGTATAAGACTGAAGATCGGCCCATTTGCACCTCAGATGTGGTGATGCCAGTAGATGGACGTTCCTGCTGCATTGTTTACAATTCAGAACTGGATTGGACTGTTTTTAATTACATGCAACTTGCTGCTCTCAGGCGGAGGATGGAACTGAGTGAACTGGACAGACTGTGAATTTACTGAAAGATGCAATACACCTTTTTGTTCTTACTGCCCTTGTTTGAAGTTTGATACCAGAAATCTCATTTGCTATTGAAAAGGGGAGGCAGAGGGAAGAGAGAGGTTAAAAATGTCGGTGTTATAAAATATGCTGAGGCCAGTTCCTCATGGACAGACCCCTGGCTTTCCAGAACTCTGGTTATGGGAGGTGCTGGTAGATAAGGAGGCACATAACTGTCACAGGTGTTGCCATGGAAGGTGCGAAGCAAGACACATTCTATGCAGATAATGGATACAGCATAAATGAAGTCTCCATTTTTTCTGGGTTTAAAAGTGCCTATAATGTGTCAAGAGAATCTAACAAGCCCAAACAGAAACTTGACTGCTCTTTTTGCAGTTACCTGAACAGTACTGGGCAGAGGTGATTGATCCTTCCTGCTACACATCCATTTGCATCTCCTCTCTCCTGCTGCATGTACTGGAGACTGTGTAAGGGATGAGAGGAGGAGGAAAGAAGAGAACTGAATTTACATGTCATCTCATTTGGTGATGCTTTGGAGAACTGATTGACTCAAGCCACGATGTGGAACATGATTTTTGTGGAAGTTGTGATAAGGAATGTGTACTGCCTCGTCCCCATTGATAGGGAGGAGGTGTGATCCCAGCTCTATATAAAGCCTTAAAAATGCGTTTAAAATCAATCAGCTCCTAGAACCTTTATGTGCTGAGCTATCTCAGCTGTTTTCATGCCCTTTGCACTACCAGTGATTGTGAATAGACATTACTTCTTTTCTTCTCCTTCCTCATTCTCTTCCCCCTGCCTTATTTTGACACAAATTCAGGGGTTTATGTCGTGTTTCTGAATTAGGTGCCACCTTTTACTGCAAATAGTCTCAAAATTGCAGATGTTACTTTCTGAAGAAGCAGCAGCAGGGTGACCCAGCCCACTTACCCCCCCCATTTCTCCATCTGGTTGCAAAACTCCAACTCTTGTTCTTCATCCCAGTTCTAAGTGCCCAGTAGTGAAGCACCCACTGAGATGCCCTCCACCAAGGCAGGTGGAGATTGGAGTCAGAAGGTTTTAGGCTCATCCTCTTTCTTTCATACCCACCCACTGCTACATGGAAAATACTCTGTGTCTGTCCCTGGAAACCAGAGGCAGGCAGGAGCCCCTTCCTTCTATACATATTTACAGCAATAATACCAGACCCCCCCGTGGAAAGTGCCGTGACACCCATAAATGAGACCAGGGCATGGGGCAGAATGAGGAGGGAGAAACAAGATCTCTTAGAAGAAAGCTGGACTGTGCTGTCTCTCTGACAGTGATATTCCTGCCCTTGTAAAGCCTGGTGTTGGACTAGCCCATCTACTCCCTTGAACTGTGCAGACAAGACCCCTCCATATTGTCCACTACTGACCTTCTGCTCTGACCACGTAGGACCATTTTGAAGATGACCTTCAGAAATCAATAATATGGGTTTTAGTTTGTCTGTTTGTAGTTTATTTTGAAGACTAGTATTTCAGTAATTTAAAAAAAATCAGAAGCACTGAACTTTCTACGTTTTATAACATTATTTTGTATATAATGTATATTTATAATCAAAACAGAAGTGTAAATATGTTTATTACTTCTCGTGTAATGTTTTTAATGTGATGACAAAGTTTGAATTTTATTTTTTTTTTCAAGCAATGAAAATACTTTCCTGCTACTACAAAGTTTGTTGTTGTTTGTCCTTTTACACCTGTTATTCTGTGACAGCCAAGATTAGCAAAGCCCCCCAGAAGTAACCTTGTCTGCCTGGTCCTTGCAGTCCTTCATTTACATTTTGCACACTAACCGATGTCAGCTGCTTTTTATAAAAAAAGTTATAGTGTTAACACCTGTCAGCAAAGTTGTTCAGCTGAGTGGCATTCAGCTGACATTTTGAAATGTTATACATATTTATATTGTGATAGATAATACTTGAATTCCATATATACATATATATATGTATATACACACACGCACACATTCTCTTGCTATGGTGTGGGACTGAACTGTCACAAAAGTTATTTCTATTAATGCAGTCTTCCTCTCCCCTGACAACTCATGATACAAAAGATGCAGATTTAATACCATTTCAAAGTAGCTTAATAAATGCGTTGTCTTGGGGTTCACTTACAGAACAAAACACTATTGCTATCTTTTAAATAGTATTTTTTTTCTGTTTTCTTTAAACACTTAATAAGACCCAAAACTTGTCCAGAGGTTACTCTGCCACAGCATCTACATCTACACATGTAGGATTGTATCCTTGTTTGATTGCAAGGGGTAAGATTTGTCTTTCACTTGTGGGATTAGGGGGAGTTTCAGGCTTTCTCCTCCTGAGTTCCCTACACTACATCAGCAGCTGTGTCCTCCTGGGGCATCACAAAGTCATTATCCTCTACAGCGCTTTTGGAGGACATTTCCACCAAAAAAAAAAAAAAAGTGTAAAAAGCACACTTGTATAAACACTCCCAGCAGGTTTAGTAGCCTTTGAAGCACATACATTTACAGGCAATTAAGTCTCTCACTAAATCAGCTAGGTGCAATACAGCCAACATCTGAGTGCACAAAAGCAAAACTATAAGAACAGGAAACTACTGCTGATCTATTTTAAAATCAGGGGGTTTTGTTGCTGTTGACAAAGTGCCAAAAAATCATCTGAATATTGGATGCCTTTCCTATCTTTCCCCAAAATTAAATCTAAGCAAAATTTGCTATTTTTTTCAAAAACTCAAAAATTTAAAACCCCAGTGACATTTAAAAAGGAACATAAAAAATTCTTTTTACTCTGTCATTAAAATACTGCAAATAATGATTAATAAGGGTCCTTCTGAGTGTATTATTAAGGTTACATAAACACTGTTTACTTTAGATGGTTTTGTTTCTCCCTCTTTAGACCTTTTCACAGCGAAATTAGCTTTCAAATCCCAGCCAATTTCCCCAGCTACCATAAAAAATAAATTTAAGATGAAACTCAGAAATAAAAACCCACCTCCCCCTCCCCAAACATTCACCCTGTAGAGCAAATTATGAAAAACAAGCCATTGACAAAAAGCTGAGCAGATGCTCCCTGCTTGCAGTCCTTCCTCGGCAATGTGAAATAAACCCAACAGATGCCTCTCTTAATTGAGCACATGGATTACATACACACATGCACTCTGTCCTGCTTAAAACAAAACACACACAAAAATCAAACAGGAAAATAGACAGAGAACTCTTCCCAATGCCTAGGCAAGCAGGAATGCTAAGACCAAAAAAGACTCAGCTCTTCCTGCTCGAAACATGACAGGAAACTGTACCCATACACAGAAGGGAGTTGAAATCCATTAAAACCTGTGGACCTGATTATGTAGATCCCATGGGGTAAAGCAGGTACAACACATGCCTTTGTGTATCCACACAGGAGAGAGGAAAATAAAAAAAAAAAAGCATCATCTTACAAGGAAATCTGTGAATATTTACTGGAGGCAGCAGTGCACGATGCAGCTACCGGAATAGATCACAGATCCTACACAGGAAAAACAGGAGCGGTGCCGGCTTCCACACGGGGGGAGAGGGAAAGCGTATGTGAATCTGTGCACGTGTGCACATCCCCAAGACCTCACCAAAGAAACCACGAGCAAATTAGCTGAACACATAACACGACCTGGATTTAACTTAAATCTTTGGCCAGAAGCTTCCTCACCGAGGGCCACTGTGCTCGGGCTCCCTCCAGGTGAGTACATCCCTGAGCCACGGCGTGTGAACGCACTAGGAGAGCTGACATCCTTCTGGCTGTAAGACTCCTCAACCTCAGAGACTCCTCTTGAGGACCACAGACCGTGTAAGGACCAAAATATTGTGATAAGCAGTGCCTTTTCTCTTAACAAGCTCTTAACGAGCTGATAGACTTCTCAGACCGAGCTGCACAGTCTATTGCTTTCAGCATAATTTGCAGTAACTCTGGTAAGATTATGGATTGGGCTCAGGGACTGCAGCTAAACTTGGCATTCAGTTTTAAAAGACTGCACAAATTCACTTGAAAGCCATGTGACAAAAAAACAATTTTAAGAATGGACTCTGCTTCTGAGAAAGGCTTTCATGTTTATTAACACCTGTTAAAAATTATTCCATAGCCACAGAGAGCCCTTCAGTCTAAGTGATTTTGGAGCTGGAATGAGTGAGAGGGGTGCTGCCTCGGGTAGTTCTTCGCCTGACTTGTTTCATATTCGGCTCCAGCCCTACATCACTTTCCTCTTTGATGCCTCTGCTGATGAAGGGAGGCAGATGCTGGGATATACCCGTAGCTATAGCACCCACTGGTGCTGAGACAACATGCAGCAGGGCACAAAGTTTACTTACGTGAGTGTAGGTGAGGGGTGCTTGTAGAAATTAGGGTCAATACAGGACATGCACAAGACTTAACCGGCAACAGCTTTCAGCCTGGAAAGAGCTGCTGAGGAAGAGTTAATTAGTTATTGTGCAATTGCAGCCACCTCGTCCAACAGATGAAACTATCCCTGTAAAAATGCTTATCAGGTATTTTCAACGCTCCTCAGTCCTTTCTTTCATTAATTTATGCTAAAATGAGAAAGGCACTGGAGGTCACTAACAAACCTTCACTACAGCAGCTTCCAGCGACAGTTACATATCAGTGTTTGCCTGTCATTGCCTTATCTCCCATGGCTGACCCATAAACACACATTGCTTTTATGCAGCAAATACGACACTCCCAGTACATTTTGCTCTCAAACCAAACTCCACTTGTGGAGAATTGACATCACTCAGTGGCCCCCTGCCATGCTTCACTGTTTTCACAACTTCAATTTTATGCCCTCTCCATTAAGATTACCTGCCCTCGTTGTGCCTCTCCCTACCTAAGCCCTTCTCTCTCTTTTTAAGCTTTACTAGATCAGCTCCCAGAGCTGGCAGGTTGGCCAGTTACACCCAAAGCAGCGAGATTTCTCCTTGATCACACTTGATCAGATGTATCTGCTGTAAACCATTCTACTCTGCTCTCAGACCTTCTCTGGGAAACAGCGTGACCCAGCCCCATAAAGCTACCTCTGCTCCTGCCTCTGCTGGGCATTACCACTGCCATCCTTGCTCCTCTTTCCCTGTACAGTTCTGGGGCATATTTCTGCAGCACAGTGGTCTATCATGCTGCAGGGCTAGGATGGAACTCTCTGGTCCATCAGGTAATTGATTGTGCACACAGCAATAATTTCAGATGCCAAAGCAATCGTTCCACTCACAGCATTTGATTCCAAGGACCTTTGTACATGGAATGTACATTTGTTTCTTCCATTTTAAATCTTGATGACAGGCCATCACCTTCCCAGAGGTGCTCCATTCTCAGCTACATCAGCTGTCCCCTCCAACGAGCTTTTCAGCTCTGGGGAGATGCAAAGGGAAAGAGACACAACATTGATCTACTCACAGACCTCACCCAGCAGTCACTGCCACCCAGAGGTCTTCACTGCCTTCCAGCAGCACTCCACACATGTCCCAGAGGAACTCGGTGGTGACAGGCTCTGTGCAGCTCCCCACACTGCAGGAGTGCTCCCCTGGACAGGAAGAGCAGGTAAAGTTTAAAAGTGTAGGGCATGGAATGCACTGGAAAATAACTCCTGCTGCCCAAGTCTCCATCTCACCACCCTCCCCTCTGACTGGGTCACTTCTGGCTGACATGTCATGCGAGAGGGGACACCTCCAGCTGAGGCACACAGAGGGGTCTACACCTGGAGATGACATAGCCCTGGGTGTGTGTGACCTGTGTAACACACTGTGGAAGGCCTTAATCCTTCTTCATTTCCTCTGCAAGTGTTCTTTCTTTCCTCTTGCCAGCCAAGCTGGAAACAGTGCTCAGACTCCATCTATTCCTGCAGCCAATCCACCCTGCCAGCTGCTCTGCATGAGGATC